TGTTTAAGAGAGCTATCACAAGTTTTATACATTCGGGACCACTTTCAGGAATTTTGGCTGTTGGCTCAGTTTGAATCCCTCTTCTACTCTGATGGCGTTCGCGAACTCTGAATCTTGTGCCAGGCTTCATGGATAGAACAATGGGGCTGAAGTTACAGGCTGCAATCGGCTAATTCATCAGTCCAAAGGGAGCAACTCTCACCCGACATACAGCCCGTCGGTGGAGAATACTGTCTCCGTAAGACTGATGGTAGACTGAGAACACCGTATTCATGTTTCAAATCTTTCCCATCCTAAACTTCAACGAGCTGCAGGTTTTCTCCTAAAAACACTAGAGAGAGTGACTCAGGAATTTCCTTCACTGTTAGCCCGGTCCTTTAGCGTATAACCCTTTTAACCTTGTCTGTAAACTGGCAAGTAATAAATTAAATTATCGTAAACAATCAACTTCTAAAAGGGCATGGTCCAAAATCTTTTGTTTCCCACTAGACGGATACAATGTATAAGGCTGGGGCAACGCAATAAACGTATAGAGGAAAACTGACTATTTGGCGTCCTTCCCCGCTTGAAAAATAAATTGTGGGTGTCTTTTGACGAATACTAAATGAGCGTTATTGATGTAAATGCATCTGCTTATTCTAATTTTTTAAAGCTATGCGATAAACCAGTTTTATGCACTAAATAAGTCATAAATTTGGTTCTACTTACAATACCCGGTTTGTCCAAATTTTCTGTCCCACGGTTGTTTTAAACGTCGGCTGCGCACTTTTTCTGAATCTCTGAGCGTGATCTAGGCGCCTGCTTCTACTTGTCCCAATGGCAGCCAGAAGGAAGACAACAAAGCTTCAAGCAGAAGAGCAAGTGTCTCTAAAGGCTTCTATTGAGCCTTCAGAGATAGTCTTTGGCGTGTGCCATATCTATGCTTCCTTCAACGACACATTTGTGCACGTTACCGATTCTACATGCTCTGAAACTATTGTGCGTGTTACCGGCGGAATGAAGGTTCGTGCTGATCGTGAGGAGTCTAGCCCTTACGCTGCTATGCTTGCGGCTCAAGATGTCGCTGAACGCTGCAAAGCTTTGGGAATATCGGCCCTTCACGTTCGCATAAGAGCTACTGGTGGCACCAAGTAAGTCACTTGAGCATATTTTCATTCTCCTTCTCAGGGCTCGCACCCCAAGCCCAGCGGCTCAGTCAGCTCTGCGTGCACTGGCTCGATCTGGGATGAAGATTGGACGGGTTGAAGATGTCACCCCGATCCCCACCGATAGCACAAGAAGGAAGGGTGGTCGTCGTGGTCGTCGTCTGTAAAGTTATTTATCTAAAGAAAATACTTGCGGAGACTTATAATTGCCTTTTAATTAGTAGCGTGGTGCGTTCCGAGTAGGACTTTAAAGACAATTCTCAACTTTTAAATTTTCAATTCCGACGCATGCCCAATTCAATATATGGAGTTCGGCTCCCACATTTGCATATATTGATGTCAAAATTCCAGGTTAGCTCTGGCCCGGCAGATTTTTGCGCTGGAGGTATTTACCCTGCACTCAAGAGACCCTCTTGCATGGACCAGATTCTTAAGTACTGTTCTTTTCCATATTCATGCAATTGCTTATTAGGCACTAGCGTCTTGCCATTTATTTCAAGTTTTGGTATTGACAGCCAGTCAGAGTTCAGCTGATTCATCTTATCCATGTTAAGTAATGTGTTCAGCCACGGCCATATTATCACCTAAAAACACGCCCTTCAGTGCAAAGTACCATGACTGTATCGCGTCATGTTTCAAAACCGTAGAAGTGACAAGCTCTAAGGTTGACTCAAGAACCGTATACGGGTCAAAACCATTCGTTATCCGTTACAGCTTAGGTTCTCGGTTTCGGTATTTCGAAAGAACTATTGACATTTGCCAATTATGACTGAGTACCGATATGGCCAGGTCGTTAAAATTGTGCTTAGTCTATGTGGTCTAAAAATACTTTTGCGTTGTGTCATTGGCAGAATTATATATTTTGCATATTTTTTCCGACGCATCGGTTCATGCTGCACCGGTACGCGCGGCAGACTATTGTTTCCTAGTCTTATATCGAAGCCTTGATTTTATGCATGTTTAATTGACGCTGTGGTGCGGCC